AAGCTGGAAAGAAGGTGTGCTTCTGAACTCCATAACTAACGTTACGATTTCTTGTGTTTCATAAATGCTGAATATGTGATGATTTGTAGCTTTTACTGTCCTCTAGATCTTGAGAAAATGGTTTTCAAACTTTGGAGAGGAGCATATTTGAAATACACCATTGAACCTTAGACAGAATTTATACTAGAGGTACAGTTTTTGGCTTGGTACAGTTTTTGCTAAGCCAGAAACTGTCCTTGCGAAAATTCCACAGGCTAGATGAAAGTAGGTATACATGTACATGTACATGTACATGTATGTGTTACCACCTTCCTTGTTACCCCTACATATTTAACCCTAAAAAGGGGGGAGGGCAGAATCTGCCCCCTCAACACTTTTCCTGATATTGCTGTAGTTTTTTTTCCCAGGTACTGAGCTTTTAATAGTTTTTAGAGTAACTCTTTGCTCTCATTTTGACAGCGTTTGTGTAAAAATCAAACATACCGTTCTAGCACAGTGCCCATTTTTCTGAGACAGGTCCTCCAAGGCATGTTTGTGGCCTTGAACTTCAAATGACCGTAACAACAAAAGCATAAGTTAAGTTCAAACTTTAAATTTGTAATGATAAGGAATGTCTTTAAACATGCCTACCAAGTTAAAAAAAATTGAGCATGGCACAACCAAGATCTTTCCCCCCCCCGCCGTCGTGAAATGGGCTGAAATGAGGTTAATGACAAAGTGTACTGGAATCGTTTGAATGAATGGTTTTGACACGGTTGTTGATTGAAAAAGGAAATTTGAGGAAAGATTTCAACCACAATTGTGACTGATGCACTGTACCATCAGGGTTATCTGGGACTCAGCTGCCAGTTTTCCAGCTTGCCCAAGTGGAAAAAGGAGAATATATTCTAGAAGCTCTATGATTTGATCCGTCTTTTGTCACTCTCTATTTCAGTGTGAGAAATGTAGCTGATTGAAAGCGGACATGTCCAGTTTCATTTTGTGATTCATTTGAGATTGAAAGATTTATACAGCACGCTCAGTTTTAAGCATTTAACAGCACCTGTTCAGAGTTGCAGGTGTTCACCTCCTTGGGATGACATTGCTGCTCCAGGATCACTGGAGATGTAGGTGACAGGGGCACTATCTTGTGTCAACAGGTGGATTGCCTGTTGCATATGTGATGCCATTTAAAGGGGGATAGTGGTGTTTTTCATCCAGGAGTACCCTAAGGGTCCCAATCACTTTCAGCGGGCATGCATATTACCCAGGGGATCCGGCAGGCTCTTTTCTGGAAACCAAGATAAATTGATGTCAAGGATCATCGGCTCAAGGGGGGGGGAGAGCAAGGATGGGGCTATTGCAAAATTCATTGGCAATCATTTTGAGTGGATAGCATTTGTTGACCCATTTCTATCAAAATCTACATTTGCCTGCCATCAGGGAATGCGCCATAAAGTCACGGAAAAATAGTCCTGTGCCCTTTGCAATCTACCATCTGCTGTTGCCAGCTGTTGTGGGAATTTTCCTAATGGGTGGGAGACCTATGAATTACGAGTCTTGTCAGAAAGGATTGAAACTATTTAAACTTCCACTGTCTCTTAGGTGGTGTTTGCAAAACGGAAGCAGTAGGCATGGGAACTTCAGCAATTAGACTCCCCCCCTCCAGCTAAAGTTCTTGACAAATTGTGATTGACTCTGCCGTCATGACCGCCTGTAAACCTGTCAGCAGGCTTTGTCTGGCTGAGTTGAAGGCCGTATTACCTGTATCTCTGGGGGAGGGGTGTCTTTTGAGAGATCTAAGCTGGCTGGGAAAATGTCACACGTACGCATGGGAGAGACTCGTAGGGAAGAAGAACAAAAAAAAAAAAAACAAGTACCAGTATCTGTGCACAGACAAGAAAAACATTTGTTCGCTGTGACAACCCACGCTGGATGCACGCAAGGGTCAGCTAAGGCAAAAACTTAGGATTGGAATCTCTTCTTAATGTTGACAGAATCAACCTGATATTCTACCGCATGCACTCTCTCAATTTTCTGCCAACACTTGAGTTATTGAACTTGGATGCTGACGTCAGCTACTGTGTACTCAATGTTCACTTCCTTTGCTTTTGTGCAGTTAAGAGACTTTAGTGAAAATAGTCATATTTCTTGCACTGTAAATACTTTTTCTAAGCTGGATTTTTTATAAAATCAATGTTTCCCTCACTTTTCCTGTTCACTTTGATTCAAGCAGAGTCGGTAACCTTGTGTCGACCTGCAATCCTGGACAAAATTGTTGGGACACTGGGCAATAGCCATACGATCTCCAAGCCCCTCCCCCCTCTCCCCTGGTCAGTGTTGTCATGTCCAGCCGGAGCGCAGACTGCGTACTTAGACCCAACATTGAAAGGGGGTCTGGGGTTGGAGGCCCATCGAGATTTGTCCAGGATTGCCTGAATTGGTTCGTAGCTGTGTGTGCATACTGTGCCGATCATGGGGTGTGTTGTGTCGTCGTTTTTTAGAAAACACAGGTTTGAAAATACGGAGATATATTGTGGTCACATCGTACAATTAAAAGAAGGGAATATCAGTATCTAGTTTTGTATTGTGTAACCACAGAAAACTGTGATATTGGGTAGCTAAGCCCCATCAGGAAAAGAATCTATAGGCATTTTTTGGGGTGCGATTTCAAGGCATGATGTGTGCATTGCAGAGTATATGTTTGTGGGAGTGCGTCATATACGATGAACCGTAGCATTTTGTGGAATATCTGTACAAAATAGATAGCTTTTTTTAAACATGAAGTGTCCATTGGGTCTGAAAACACCGTAAAATCGTGTGGGATTACAGTTTGTTAATCATTCCGTCATTTTGTCGAGAAATGCAACGATGATCCATGAAACCATAAAACAAAATAAAAAGGGGAGAGACTCAACTTCTTTAATGATGTGTTGTGGCTCAGTGTTGGCAGTGTGCCTTGTATGTATTGCTTGCGTGCGCTCTGTTATTTTAGTGTGTGCTGGGTGCTCTGTTGGGTCAGGTTGGAGCATTTGATCTCCATTATAATGGAGATCAGTGGGTGGAGAAAAGCAATCATGACAATGCTTGTAATCTTTTAAGGCTGAACTCAGCACATTTGATGTTCATTTCAGGTTGGTGTTAATTCGAATCGGCCAATGCCGGAAATGGTTCACATACTCTAAGTAACCAGACCCTCCCCACACACACATAAACAGGCATGCGTAAACCCTGACAATCCTGGACAAAATTGTTGGGACACTTGGCAAGAGCCATACGATCTCCAGCCCCCTCCCGCACGCCCCCAGTCAATGTTGTAAAGTCCAACCGGAGCGCCGACTGCCCAACATTGAAAGAGGGCCTGGGGGTTGGAGGTCCAGCGAGATTTGTCCTGGATTGTGGCTTACTCCACACAAGGTTTGCCCCACCTGCATTTTGTAGACCCCTTTTTTTTTAATGGGTCCGCACCAGGGATGTGAGGTCAGCATGAAACACTTTGTCAGGTGGCCTCAAGCAGGCTGTGTACAGAATGTACGGTGAATAACCGCCATTAAATATTTGAGAATTAATCATACTGAGGTTCGATCAATCATTATGGCCGGTCTCTCAAATAGCATGTCAAAATGATGTAGTGCAATAGATGTTTTCTGTGTATAGACTAAAACTTGAGGGAAGGCAAGCATTTTAAACTTTGGGCTTAAAATGCTTTGGGCGCTGCAGTGCCTTGTGCTGCAGTGCCTTGTGCCAACCAAATAATCACTGAAATTCAAGTCTCATGGTATTCATGCATACGTATTTGTACATTAATGTGACTTTCGTTTAAACAAGCTTACCATTAGAATTTTCTGCTGTACTGTGGAGACATTCTTGCATTACGGCAGAAAACAGAGTCTTGAAACATGCCAGTAGTCATTCATGTCAGTGCATGCTTAGTGGTCATGGCTGATGCAAATATTCCCAAGCCGATGAGCTGCCCAAAAGAGCACAAACTGTACACCTATATATGTATGTGCTTGTGGCCAATTTCGCAAATAAGTGTAACAAAATCCATCCAGCGCCCGAGTATATAAACCGCATATCTTGGTGAAGACTATCCAAGTGTTGAGCTACCATGTATTTTTGTCCCCCTCCCCTTGTTTTTGTGTAATGCGTCCAGAATGTGCTGTTTTGATGATGGGAATGCAATACTAGTGTTGGCCCTCGAGAACAAGTGGCAGCGTACATGCGCCCATGGGCACGTGCAACAGCTAGAGTCTGTTGAGCCTTTTCCCTGGAAGGGCAAAGCCTTCTCATGGACAGCTGAAGTGGTCCGACCCGATAAATCCTATACTTGTTTTGATGCGAGATATTAAATTTTGTTCCAGCGTGTACGTGTACACGTGCAAAATCAGAGCCCAAGCTCTCGAATTTTAGTCCCATGTCTGGCATCGCGAACATTGTAACAACAACTGGCACTTGAAATTTCGATTTAAGTGCTCTCGAGGCTATTTTTTTTCATTTTTTCGTACCGTCAAATTAGTTCTGTCATTTGGGGTGTAGGCATTGCAGCAGGATCAAATACCATGCAGCAAAGAGGGGATCAGTTCACCATGGAAAGGTCACGCAGTGGGATGCCTGTATTACTTGTTATCATGCAGCATGAAGTACGCACAATCTGTATCTAAGATTTGGAGGATCGGGAGGAGCGGGGCAGTGTTTATTTTGCATTATTGAATTTAATGGGAAAGGCGTTTCTATGGAAATACACGTATATCATTTCCCATTGCAGCTTGAAGTTTGTGATGGCAGACACGAGATACTGGGCATAACCTTGAGTCCTCTGGTTCTCTTCAGAGCCTGACTCGCAACAGAGATTTTGCAAGGCGCAACAGCTAACGTAGTCACGTGCCATTTTTATTCCATCTGAAGCACGTAAAACAATCCCCCAACACGTTCACGCTTACACCTGATGAGAAAGCCCTAAATAGAATTCTTCTCTTTTCCTAAATCTGTACCTTTCATGTTTGTGGTTTTTTTCTCAGATCCTCCATGAGAACATTTATGATGAGGTGCTGGAGAAATTGAAGAAAGCCTACAGTCAGGTCAGAATTGGAGACCCCTTGGATGGTACGTCTGATTGTTTGGAAAGTTGTACATGTTATGTCTAGAAAAGACTGAAACAACTCACGTGCTGAACACACAGTTTGCCCTGAGTTGAAATGCACCTTCACTGGCAAAGACGAGACAGGCTTTTTCCACCGGGCTTGTGCAGAGGACGAAGCATTGTGTTTCTTATTGTTTCTTTCGTACAACTCTCTCCCATAAACTAAATATAAGCACAGGCACTAATACGTGGTGGACAGAATTGAGCAAACGACCGACCACCCATGAAAAATCTTGTGTGCTTGCGTGGCATACGTAGTGTGGACCTCTGCACAAAAGAAGTCCACATAATGTAGGGTGCGATGGCATTGTGTGGACTCGCACAAATCCACACAATGTTTTCCCCTCTCTGAAAAACAGTTTCAGAGGCATTTTGGGGTCAAGGTTGTCAGGTGGCAAAAGGAAGGGGAACAGTCCAGGAAATCATCAAAAATCCAGCTCGAAGGAGTTATCCTAGTTGGAGAAAAAGGAGCATTTTCCTCAAGTTTCCTTAACCAGAGGAGAACAAAGGAATGTCCACACTTTGTATGTAAAACAGGTATGTGTGTTCCCTCTGGGTGTCTGTCCGCTCCCATAAACGTGTACAAACATGTGAAACATGTACATGTACTCATGGATCGCGACTGGATGCATGTCTTTTTTCAGAGAATACCCTGTACGGTCCCATGCACTCGCAGCAAGGCGTGGAAATCTACCAGAATGCCATCCAGAATGCCCTGGCTCAGGGAGGCAAACTTGAAGTTGGAGGAAAGGTGAGGAATGTTCCCGTTGTGTGCTGATGTGTGCAGCACAGAGGCCCAATTTCCTTGTGTATCTATTGAAGGTCCGACAAAAAAGTGCTTTCGCTCAGTGGCGTACACATTGAGGAAATTAATGTCACAGCTGGCTGATGGCAGCCAGTCACATGGCATTCGCTGTTGCTGTTTTTTACCGCCAAAAGAAGGTGGCTTTCATTAATCCCCTTAGTTTAGTTTTCATTTCTCACTCTTGTGGCCAGAGGCCAAATTACAGTGAAAAACACAGTGAAGTAAAAATGAAAACATTACAAATCATTACAAAGCAAAATTCATCAACAAAAGTAACCATTACGATAAAGCACACTACAATACACGAACATGAAAACTGAGTCATTAAAACCGAGGAACACTTTTTAAAAACACAGAAAAAAAATGCAGACATTTCTCATTATATGTTTGAAAAAAAAATTAAAGTACTGTACCCGTAGCAACCAAGGAACTATACACCTGACCACCAGCATGGTGTGTAAATGAATACTGGTGTGCCCAATTTGCATTCTGAAGTGCAACCACTGCAGAGGTGGGTTCAGACATTTTGTGAGGAGGCACAGGTACATGTAGTATGGAAAAGCGCTGGTTAATCTTCAACACATTTCTCATTCAGAGAGACGCAATCTTTCTCCATGTACAGATCAAATTAATCAGTTAATGCTGAAATTAAGCAGAATCTGTCACAGAGTTGCTCAACCCCTACATGTGCGAACTGTACATTGACTACTTTATCGTGTGGTGTAGGAAACTACGGGCAGCCTCCCTAGGTGATTTGTGGAGCATTTCTGTCTCCCCCTCAGCAGTGCCTTGGAGAATACGAGTAGACTGCTTAATGGGTCGCTGTGAGAGGCTTGCTTTTGTTACACCTTTTGAAGCAGTCGGTGTTATTGAACTCATGTTTAGTCATGTGTAGACAAATCGGAGATGGTGTCATTATTGCTGTGTTGCTACACTCATGTGTTCCAAATTAACAGTACCCTATTGCCAACCTCTCAAAAAGCAACACCCAGATATTTCTTTCTGTGTTTAAATTTGCTGTATTATTTGATCCGCTAAAATAAAAAAGGCACTGCGTTCCATTTGCTCAGTGGGCTGGTGAAAATGCTCGCGGGCCAGTGAAAACTCCAATTAGCTAGCCCGGCTGGCCAGTGGAAAAAAAAGTTAAGGGAAACCACTGCTATTGGTTGGGAGGGTACTGGATGAAAGACGCACATACTGTATAGTACCTCCTGCGTGCAGGTGTACTTACATGGACGTGCTTGTACCATGGTAATTTCATCAAACTTGGGCTGCTGGATTAGCCTATACATGACACGGCATTCTGAACAGCACGTGCACCAAGCAGAAACAAATGATCATTCATCACTGCCTGGAATTGGAGTTTGTGGAAGAATTTAAGCTGTGTACTGTCCGCTGCTCTCTGGTGATAGAGACAGGCTGGCGCTGACAGTGAGCCTACCTGGCAGCCACAGGGTGACCCAAAGAGATTGCTGATATTCAGATTGCACATACTGTATGACATACACACGGCAGAGGAGCTCACATGGCGCATCAGCCCCGGAAGATTTTGCTGTTATGTATTATAACACCTCACTTGCTGATTCTGTATCTTGATTGGCCGAGTGCCAGTCACATGCCTTTCGCTATGATACAGTAGCTATCTAGTAGTGCACGGCCAAAAGGACTATACACCCGTAGCATTCAAAGAACTATACATGCGTGAGAACCTGCACTTTGTGCAAATGCATACTATAGTGTGCGTGTTGCGTGTCATGTGCATTTAGAAGCACTAGTGCGGCAGAGCTGGGTTTAAGTATTCTACGAAGAGGCAGTTTGGTAAAGTGCTTGTAAATTTCAATAGATTCCTCACTTAAATGGATATGTTTTGTGTGTGTTTACATCAAATTAATCCGTTACTGCTATCAAGCAGAATCTGTTGGAAAGGTGTCATAAAGCAAATATTGACTGATCCCTCGAGCTGCCCATTTTCCCTTGGCTTTGCCTTGGGAAAATAGAATGCTTCATGGATCACCTCTGGAGGTTAGTTTTTACTACACCACTGGAGCAGTCAATATTTGTATATTAAAGCACCCTCCCTCATTCTCATACACGCAGTCCACATAACCATACAGAGGTATATCCCATCACAGGCCATGTTTCTCACAATTTGTAGCCCTTGAGGTTGGCTTGGTTGGTTATCAGACAGAAAAAGTCTGAGGGGAAAAAAATCAGGGGCTGCAATGGAAGAGACGCTGTTGAAATAATGTCAAATGTGCATTTTCTTCTTGTGTCAAGAGCTGTTAAATTTGACATCAAAGGTTGGTCTTGCCAAGTTTCGGTACAACCCCAAGCCACCGTTGGCACGCTAATGTCATTGACCCCATAACGTCAATCGGCACAGGTATGCAGATCACTAACACTTTGGCCGCAGTGGCAGACCTGAGAAGATAGTGGAGGGAAATGAGATCCTGATATGATGAAAGGCTATACCCGCACTGTCGCTTGGAGTGCACGGAGACATGATAGATGATGTGCCTTTGACGTCTCTGGTCAGTGTTATGTGCGCACGTGTCGCCATACAAAACAACCAGTATTGACTCACCGGCTGCACTGTGACCATCATAACATGTGTGGTGATACATCCAGCCCTAAACATATGTGAGACAGTTGGTTTGTCTTTGCACATGGGAAAATTAGTGCTGACAAGTGCATACAATTTTGTAAACACTATGTTTATGCTGTGCCTCACGGAAAATTGATGTGTATGCATTTTTTATAACTGTCCAGCTTAATAGCTCAGAGCTAAATCTGCCTGAATTTTTTCTCTTTTACTGCTAAATTATTTTACTGAGGGGAGCTTCTAGACAAATTGTTTATAGTTTGTTTCTTAGACTTGGAGCCCCTAAATGGGATGGGTTTGCATGGAAGACAATGGAGTTCAAAGGGATGCCCTTCTTTTTGCCTCATCTTTTGGTGTCCTTTTGTTGAGCGGTAACCAAGAAAGAAATAGCCATCCCAAAGACTTTTTCTTTTGTCTTGCCAGGTACTGGAGAGGCCGGGGCATTACGTAGAGCCCACAATCATCTCTGGTCTACCCCATGATGCCCCAGTGATTCAGACAGAGTCCTTTGCTCCCGTGCTGTATGTCCTGAAGACCTCTGTGAGTAATTCTGTTATTTATCCATAAATTTTGCAAAGATCGTTGAGGACTTTTCAACAAAAAGGACACAGTGTCAGAATGGTGTAAAAAGGTGTATGGGATGAATGAATGGAGAACTTGAAGGTATCGTGGATGTTGGCATTTCTAACCTGACGGTTTCTAAGGAACTGAAGTCTAATATTAGATATGTGTGTTGTTTTGTGGTAAGACCTCCTTGGTGGTGCACTGTGTAAAGTGATCCAGTGCTAGCTGGCTTGTCGTGGTTTATATGCGTCCGTTAACTTGAACCAGATACAAAGGATGTTGTAGAAACCTCAATGATTTGTTTTGCCCCTCAATGCCTGGTGACGTAGGATGTTTAACCACTTCGTGCCGGGGCATTTTTCAATGTTGATGATGCTGGGCCGGCATGACTATCATTTTTTCTGTTTCCAAAATCCTTCAAAAATTCATCATTTCATTTAACGGTCATTTATAGCCACACAAAGTAATCTTTAGGCACTACTCTAAGTTGATAGGTGACCTTCATAGACGCTCGAGTATTTCGGCCAGGCCTGCAGCCTTGTAAACAGAGCCCAGATTGTGCAGTGTTAAGTAACTGTCTTTTGTTCACGAACCTGGCTCAGTGCACTGCTGACCTCTTTTCAATAGGGGCCAGATTAGCGTGCAGCGGTGCTGTGTGGCCCATCGCTGCGGTGGTGGAGCGCTTTTGTCCCCGGTGGTAATCCGCTCGCTCTCAATGCCCCAAACCCTGGTGTAGGGTTTCAAAACAAGGCTGGGTTATCACCACTTTTGAGAGTGAAAAATGTCGGTAATGCCCAGCAGCCTGGTCTTTTGTTCGGAGTACGGTCTTTTGTTACAGGGCCCTGTTTCCTTTGTCCGAGTTCAGAGACCCCGGCCACCCATATAAACCATACGTCTCCGATCCCGGAGTCCCCTGCAGTAAGTGGTTAATATCCGTGAGTGGGGACATTGAATGGGATGTCTTCCCAGTGCATGGCTAGGGTTGTACACTCTCCCCATCACGTTAGGAGTCCAGCTCCAGCAACTTGTTATACATGATCTCGACTGAGTCACTTAATCTGTGCATGCATCGACATCTCCCCCTTCAGGAGTATATCTTCCCAATAGGTACTTGCAAGTACAGAGATGGTAAATTTCCATTTAGCTGTGCACCCAAGGGAGCTAAGATGTTTCAGGGATGGTTAGATGTTGTCAGCCTGATGAGTAGGGATAATGATAATAAATCAGTGCCTTTAAATGAAAAGTATTGTCAGATACTACACGCTTATAAATGCTGTCATTATCATTATGGATGCATTTGACAATTTATTACTAGGGTTGTTTGCCAGCATGTTACTCCGTACGAGCATCAACTCATATGCCGCCTTGCAGTCTGCCAACGTAGGCCTACCTACCTTGCCAGCTCAAAACAAATGCGTCAGTTTTTTGCTACTGGAGCATCCTTTAACCCATTCGTTGAATTGTGTGGGAGAAATATGTGTCAGGTCACACCTCAATTCATCACACAACTCCCATCAGGTTCATGTATTTCACTTGACAGCTGTCTGAGTGAGACTCGCCTCTTTGAAAAGATTTGCCCCGTTGAGTCCTGAACGGGCATCGGGAAACACAACTGGGTCAGATCAGTCATAGAATCACACAGGGACTGAAAACCCAATCCACCTGTGGACCAGGCCAGAAATCAGTGGCCTGCAGTGGTGAAAGGCAAGGAGAGAACCACTGTGCCAACTTGACTCCTACGCATTTTTCTAACAAGGCACACCCAAGCATTTCTGTCCAGTGATCATAAGTCGTGCTATCTTGGTCATAGAGTCACTGCTTTTGGAATTTCCATCAGTGTTGTATTAGAGTCCATCACAAGTCCCTGTAAGTCCATCACAAGTCCAACACAAAATCATTCCGTCTTAAGCCAGTTCACAAGCTATTCAAATTAACTGTAACAAAAGAATTTTTCTGTCATTGTTCACCCTGTTAGGACTAGCCTTGTGAAGGGACTTGTAACTGGACTTGTTAAAGGACACAAATACATGTACAACACTTCCGTAGGCTGCCCTTTTTTGTTAGTACATACGGCAAGCTATACTTCATCCACACATTTGGGTCATGTTAGAAAATTTTGAAATGAATTTTCTCATATATTATGCTTTAATATTTTGATGCTTCTACATTTGGATGATCAAAACTCGAGAGAGAGTCAGATGATGATTTTGAGGATGAATCGGTGTTCAAGGATGAAGGCTAAAGTTTGTCTTCTACTAAGTTTAGACCACCAGGACACACCTACTTGTAGTTTCATTTTAATTCCATAGGCCAGTGTTGTATTTGAGTGCATCACAAGTCCCTGCAAGTCCCTGTAAGTCCATCACAAGTTATTCAGTCTTAAGCCAATTCACGAGCTATTCAAATGAGCTGTCACAAAAACATTTTTTTGTCATTGGTCACCCTATTACTTATGACTGGCCTTGTGAAGGGACTTGTGACTGGACTTGTGAAGGACTGAAATACACCACTGATTTCCGCTGCAGTGAAGCCTGTGAGTGCCAGTATATTCGAAGGCATACGTGTAATGTACCAGTACACATACATGTACATGTAGCTGCACTGATCTTTCTCCCCAGCCACCGTACATGTATCGGTGTACTCACTAGTAGACCAAAGCACATGTAGCAATGCATTGGCTTACTTCTCCTTTTATCCGTACTCTTGTAAACATGTAGGTGCACATAATGACAATACATGTAATAAAAAAAACAAAAAACTACAAAGCCACGGTGTCCATCAAAGAGTGACGCTTATGGTACAGTACACAATTAAAGCCAAAAAAATTAACCAAAATAAGATAGACGTTCAGGGTTTTAAAGTGTACCTGCAATGATCTTTTCCTTAGACACAATTGTTGTGCAACTTTGTACTCTTCTCAGTATATGAAGACTCTTGTCACATTCCTTTCTGGTTAAATTCATTGGAAAGAGCACTTTTTAAACACTTAAAATTATCCATGATTTCCATGCCAACTGAGCGCTGTTGCTGTAATATCATCCAGGGAAGACATAGTTCAGTGCATGCATGTAGGTTTTTCTGTTTAAAGGGTGAATCCAGAATATATAGTCGAAATATTTCCAAGTAAGGTACATGCATGGAGTTGATGCTTGCTTAATATTGACCTGCATATAAGCAACAATGAATTAGCAAAGAGGAAACAATTTAATCCAGCAAAATCTACAAAAATGCAGAACTTTTTGTGTACAAATCAATGGATCGCTGAAGCTTGCCTCCTGGGATGACATCACAGTTTTGCTCATGAATATGGAAATGCCATTAGCTTTAGAACCAAAAAGGCAGTAAAAAAAAATCTATGAAATAGTGAATCAAACATTGAAAATAAGGTTTACTGAAACACAAAGGTGCATTTTGAAGGTCTGTATTGAAACAAATTTAATTGCAGCTACCCTTTTTAAATTACGGGAATCTTTGAAGTCAGTGGTGGATGAAATGGTACAAATATTTGAAGGGAGTTTGTTTCAAAGATGTGGGCCCACAGGAGACAAGGATTGATACTGGTACCTCCTAAGAATTGCACCATCTTTAGTAATAGATAAAACACAGATCTTTTTTTGTAGCTGGCAAATGGTGAAAGGTACCAGCACTTGAGCAACACTACAAAGGATTGTCTTGTCCAACCATGTCAATAAATGTTGGGGGGGGGGAAGAAGGAAATAAAGAATGAAAATCTGATGAAAGAAACAACTTAGCAAACATGTTATTGGAATCGTGCAAGGTCATTTCACCACCCTGAATATTTCAGATTTTCCGCTTGATTTCTCTGAGTATTGTCTGGCAGTGTCGTATTTGCTTCTGTTCCATTACGTCATGTCACTTGTGATTCTCTTGTGCAACCTGCCAGGGATAGGCCTACACCCTGTGGTGGATGGATTCCTCATGGAACATACACAGGACAATACATTCCCCCTTGGACACATTTCATCAGTGGCGTGGATGCCATTATCTGTCTTTTATGTACATGTATGTTGAGGATTTAAGTGTTTGGTCATGCCTCAAGCAAATGTGGTGAAATTGACTTTGAAAAAAGTAATTACATCTCAAACTGAGTGAGTGGGCTTGCCTGTTCTACTGGGAATTTTTCCACGTGTGTTTTCTTCAGATACTCTGGATCTAATCAAGTTGCCAGCAAAAGCTGGAAAAATATCCGGAAGTTAGAGTTCCTCTCTAAATGACATTATTAGGAATGCCTCCTAACTTACTTGAAAAGGCGCACATGCAAAATCCTCCAGTGATTCATTCTAAACTTGCTTGTTGTACAGAATTCACGTTGACATGAGTTAGAGTTGCAAGATTTTAGCTTCCATGTGAAAATTGGCTTTTTGCAATCATCCTGTGTGGTGAATGCTCTCCTAACCCTAACCACCAAGCATATTTCAGTTCTACAAAATTTCAGTTCTACAAAATACTAAGTAGTAGCCTGAGCCTGAAGGACCTAGCGCTACAAATGACTACTTCTGGCTAGGTTACTTCCATTGTTACTCATACAAAGAACAATACAGCCATGCATTCATAGTGCCAGAGCACTGTATGGTACCGGTACATTGTCTTATCTATTGTATGTTAGGGCTTCATAGAACGATACGGTCATGTCCTCTTACAAGCGGCAGCACTGATTACTACATTTTACTACAAGTAGCAATTTGTGGTATTACATGTGTTGCATGTATTACATGTATTACATGTGGTATTAGGGTTAGGGTTAATGAATACCAACCCCCCCCATGTTACATGCCCATAACGTAGGCTCTGGATTCAAGTGCTGGTATTTTACAGGCATAGATTGTATTTGTATGCATGCCTGTAAAGGTACATGTACATGTACGTGTAGATGTGTTAAGCCTACTTTTACCTTTTAACGCATACGAAGAATTTGTTCAGCGCGCATATTTCTGGTGCACTCTAAAGTTTACGAATTGTAAAAAAAATTAAAAGTTCAAACCATTTTCTTTCTTCCTTGTTGCCTCATGCTATCACCATTTGGAAATGTCAAAACTGATGAATGGACATTACGTCTATCCACTGGTGTGGAGAGGTTGGAGTAGGATTTGCCTTCACCATCTGCAGCTAAATCACTGTCAGGGGAATTGCTTGTTTTATGCCTGATGTGAGACAGGGACCCCAACAGTGGGCAAGGCCATTGCCTCTGCTTGCTAAGCACCATTACATGTCATGCCAAACGTCATGGTATTTTGTTCACAGCATAGGCCCGGCAGGCATGGCTCACAGGGTGCGAACCTCTGGCCAGGGGGAAAAAGGCGAGTTTTTCCATGTTTTAACTCTGCGAGGTCGCCACTGGAAACATTGGTAAACTTGTAAAGTGAATACGTCTAGGTGTTGCCGTGATGCCATCCTGTGACATCACGTTACATCTGTTGCCAGTGTTGCGGAGTCCATCCTAAGACTTAGGTACATTCACAATTCCAGAAATGAGTCGTTTTCAGAATTCCGTTGAGTCGTCATAAACAGTGGCTGTGATTTGGATTTGCACCTTGAATTGAACTTGCATACCTATCAAGGAGTCAGGACTGTAGTGTTAGATCTGACGCTGGGGGAATGACCTAAACTTGTTAATCATAACTGAATCACCCCAACATCCAGCAAGCCCTTCTGCACTAGAGTTGCTCCTTCATCATGCCTCTAATGAAAACATTCATTCTATCCAAATAATTAAAGACCTTTCACAGTTAATCGAATCATTGTGTTGAAATACAATCTGGGTACTAAATATACCCTCCGTGGTTGGCAGCACCTAAACTCTAGTGGGACTTGAGGTGTTTTTGATTTTTGGTTTTATCCAGATCTGATATCAGTGTCAGTATAAGATCAGCTAAGATAGGCTCGTCATCAGGGGAATTTATCACAACAGTAAGAGTTTTCATAACCGGCACCATGGCTAATGACTCTGAAGAGTTGTTCAAAGGCTTTCTGGTTCCACTTTTTGCAAGCCGTGTTGACTTAGCTGCTAAGCTGGCATTGAACAATGCGTAACCGTGTGGCCATCCTCTAAAACTGTTTTTGTGATCTCATCCTGCCTTGCCGGGAGCGCATTTTTCTCTGACCGATTTCATGCATTGTGCCCCCCTACTTCTAGTATTATTATTTTTATTTGTGTAGGGGGATTTCTCCTAGGGGAAATCATGGCAGTCTCAGAGAATGGTTTCTCGAATTACAAATATCTTACATTTCCTGGAGATTGTGTGGCCGATGTAAAGGCTGCCTTTTTTTCTGGGATCATTTCACCTTTGGTGTTGGACTTATCTTGTGACTTTGCCCAAACACAACACTGCCACTTTTGGGCTGAGCTCTGAAAAGGGCGTTTTCTGTTTCCTGTGGAATGAGTCTGAATTATCTTTTTTCTTTTCACTTTGAAGGGAGTCATATTCTGCCATCGTAAATATATATATATATTTTTTCACAATTCCATTTCAATACGGACACGCAGAGATAAATAGTGACGCTTTTGAGCTAAGTCTGATTGATATACATGTACATGTAGATTTCCAAAAGTTACAACAAGCTGGTTTCTGGAAACTTGGAAGGTAATTGGGGGTCTGACATTTCACACATTAAACTTCCACTCGAACAAGAAACTGGCATTTCTTTGGCAGCACATTGGCGGTAAAATGGTTTCATACTTACCTTTGTTTAACTCTGTGCCTGGTTATTAGTTTAAAAGTTTTCTCATTTTGGGCACTTTTTAAGCGGGGTTGTGCATTTCTTTAAATCACAAATAGTCGACATTACATTTATTTGCAGAGAACTCCAGTGTTTGAAAGGAATGTGCAGTATAAGGTTCTCAAACAACAATTGTGTGCAATTAAACTGGAAAAGAAATCTTGCTTGCTTCATACCACACTCTAAAAAGATTCAATTCAAGATCATATACGTGTTAGGAAATTAACTGATAACCTCATTTTGAAGCACTCGAAAGCACAGTTCTATGCTGCTTCTGGTTATGCCAATATTGTTCGCCAAACTAGAATCATGAAACATGCCCAGAAAAGTGCCCTTTGAATGGCTTAAAGTATCATTCTGTGGAGCAAAACAATAAAAAGAGCATCAAATCTGAAGCCCTCCATGGTGCAGTTCACTGCAGCCCCCATCTGACGATCACCATAAACACAGTGGAACCCAAAGTCTGAAGTACGTGTAATCCTTGTGCAGAGTGCATTTGATACTGCCGATGACACTGGTAGCAGTAATCCATTTGATGGCATGCAAAGAGCCAACCTGTTTTACCTGCCACCGGTGAATTTCCAATTATGACAGATAGGATTGGAAATCTGATCCCCTTGCACTTGTTTGCCCATTACTGCGGTCAGCAGAGACGCAGCAGAAGACATCTGTCGCATTAGCTGCACGTGAGGAATATTTTGAGAATCCTGTGTGTGCCCTGTACATGTAGATACACGCGGCTGCCTAACTGTTATTTGGTAGAGAGATCCCACTTTAACAGAAAAACGATCGCCTTTATACATGTAAAGCGACAGATCCTTGCTCTGTTTTGCTGTCTGTTGATTCGACGGGTCGCCTTTCAGGCTTTTAGTGTTTCGTGACACCTACGAGTGGACCTTTAACCTTTGTTGGTTGTCATTAAATAAAGTATTAACCCTAACTCCCTAGGGTTTGTGCAAAATCATATTAAAATTTGAGGATTTAGGGCTGTTAGGGTTAATTCCTCTCCTTCCCTTGAAATATATGTACTCTGCATGACGTTACACCACAAGGTGTCTTTTTAATACTCTGACATGTCTGTAGTGTCTCCAGGATGTTATGTTTTGCCATCCTCTTACATCACTGCGGCATTCTCAAAGCCTGCCCTCGAAGTTGCACGAAGATACATGTATGTCACAGCAAACTGTCACCAAGTTTGAATGGGAAAAAATTTGCAAGACGCCACTTCTAAATTCCATGAGTGGCACTTTCCAAGTATGTACCAAAGATAATCTGGTGAGGGTAAAGCTGTATTTAGGCGGACTCTGGACAGTCAGCATCAGAAGTAATTAAAAAAAGTTTGGATAGTCAAAATGTTTTACAAACTAAAAGGGTTGAAGACAAACACATTTGGAAAGTCATTGCAAAGTACTGGTGCTTTCCAAGTACTCTGTCTTTAAAAAAAAGCTGTAACTAATGTACAATTCTGTTGCTGGTATTTAAGAAGCTCCTTGCCATTTGTTCTTCTGCTTCAGCCACTTTTTAAGCAGGGAGATTGGTCAGGATTTTTCCTGACTCCAGGATGTTTTCATGGGGATTTTTTTAAACAGTGTATTTTAAAATGTGGAATATCCTGAGTTTACTGTACCGTCACAGTGTTTTACGCGTAACAGTTGATATATACCTAAAGGATGGGCACTTTAAGGGACACCTTTAAGCAAACATCGAGCCTTCTCTGCCGCGGGGCCATGATCAAACCGTTTTGCGATCATCGGCGTGGATTTCATTTTCTTCCAGTCTCACTCCTGTTTAAACTGCATCTTCGTTTGTACTAATAGGTGTACAGAAACCACATGAAACTGAGTCTCTTGACATTCAAATAAGGGTGGACAGTCTGTTGAGAGCATGACCAGTGTTTGAGCAGTCATCTGTGAGTATGAGGTTGAAAAGAAGTGGGAGGATGTAGAGGTATTTTCTGTGCATCAGCCTTGCCAGGGGCGCATTTTGCTAAACATATTTTCTCAGACAGGTGGGGGGGGAGAGGAAGTAGTTGTCCTTTCCATTTACCTTGTTTTTTTTTCATGCCGGGAGCACATTCTGGTCCACGCAATTCTTGCTTTCTTTGCTCCCTGGAGGGGAATGTGATAGAACTTGGAATTGAGTCTGGAAAAACATCTCGCAAAAGAGCTTTAGGGCACAAAAAAGCTGATTGAGTTGGATGTATTCACGTGTGTTGATGGAGTTGCCCAGAGCAGATGGACATTTCGACTTGCGCATGATGTGCACATGTTCAATCAAATTAAACTTCTAGAAACGCATGCGTAAGTGAATGATGAATCAACGTACTCCTTCATAAACTTTTGCGATTTAACGTAAATCGATGAGTCCTAATTGGTCAGTGCTTTCTGAGAGTTTGTGAGAAAATGACCTTTATGCAAGCTTTGATTTCATGGTTCAGCTAATATACCACATATGCGTGTAGTTCTGACGAGCGTACGTGTAGCAGGCTAAAGACAGTGGGTTTGTGTTGTACTTCAGCAAGCTGGGGAATTTTTTCCTCACAAAGCCTTGGTACCACATTGAATATACAGTTGAAGTTCTACAAAGAATAGGAGAAGTCCAGCAATAGGACTTTTCCTATAAGAATAGGAAAATGCCCGCAGGGCTGCATACGGTACGTACGTGTGTTGTGAATAGCGAACAGGGATCATTGGGCTCACATTGTTTCCATTGTAATCAATTTGCATATTGCTAAATCTGTTGTGTAGAGCCTTGAGGAAGCCATTGGCTGGAACAATGAAGTTAAGCAGGGTCTGTCCAGCAGTCTCTTCACCAAGAATCCTGGCAACCTCTTCCGCTGGCTCGGGTGAGTACCGTCCTCTTGGCACCTAGTAGTCCGCTGTAACCACATGGCTCCACAAATATCGAATATACGAAGATATCTCGTGCTACATGTACATGCACTTGTACCTGAGCTCTAAGAACCCAGCTCCTTTCATTTAGACCATCAGATGACCTGCTTGACAGTTTTGTGGAAGTGAAATGGGTCAAGTATACTTCAGCCAGTCTGATGAGCAGTGCACATTTTAGCAGTACATTTTTCCCACAGGCTGTGTGCAGGCGTCCCAGAATTGGAAAGTAAAAGTACAAACAATCTTAGCAAAAAGATGATAACCCTTGGAGCAATGAGCACATCGTGCATAATTGTGTACTTCAGTGATTAGCAACCTCCGGCACCCAGCTTGTGTGTCAGTACAAGTCAAATCGTTGGCCGAGAAAAAAAAAGGCCCATTTCATTTTCTTCAAGCCTATGGTCCATACCCGGCCAGTCAGCCTGGATGGCTAGAGCTACACGTATTTGAAAGCCTTCTGCACAAAGGCAGAGAAATTGATAAAGCTATGGGCTCTACATGTATATTGTACATTGCAGGAGATTTATTGGTGTGCACTTTGCTCGTTGTGCTTTCATTCCCAAGTTGCACTTTCTTTATCCGATTGCATACATACATGTTCCTGTAGCATGAAATAAGCTGCATTATTTATGCAGTGGCGTTCAAAGACAGGCGTTCAGCGTGTCGTATGTTAGCTCAGTCATCCAGACTTTAAAAAGTGGAAGACACTCGATAGCCAATTGGATCAGAAAGGTCCAGAGGTCCTTGGTTGTCCCCTTCTGATTGAGGTTAGGTTACCAATGTAGGGTGTTCTCAACAGTCTCCCTTCTTCTCACGTTCTCCCTTTACGCCCTTGATTTCAGAGAACCACTGTACGCGTATGTGTACCTGTGTAGTACAGTGGAACACCGCTTTAAGGAACATGACGGGGTCCACACTAAATGTTCCGTACAGCGGTTGTTTGGTATATTGAAATTCCACTGTAAATCCCCTTGTGCTTAATGTTAGACTGGCTTACATGTACATGTATGCTCGCATGAATGGTGTACATGTACATACATGTTTACCCAATTTTGTACTGACAATCATTGTAGTACATACATGTTCATCTCACCGTGGGCATTACCAGGAGATTAAATTCTAAAATTCCATTGACATTTCCTCAGGGGTAGCCTGATCGGTAACAGCATCATCCGTTATTAGGTTCAAGGTTTAAAAACGAGAGAAAAGACAGTGCTTTGGAACTTGGTAGGGATTTGGGCAAACCCCTGTGAGAAATTTGCATGATAGGCTAGAGAGATATGCTGCATCAGGTTCTGTACATAGACAAGTCAATGCATGCATTGCCCCCTTTGGAGGGAAGTGGTTTCTAGTGGTGGCATATACATGTTCATACAGATAGTGTCCGTTTCACACTTGCTAAATATTCATGCTTCTCGGTTGTTTCCCCCAAACCATCTGTGGAATTTGTTGGTTTGCTTCACACACTTCTTTGTCCTCACCACAGCCAGTGGTCGACTTAATGCCGGTTGTCGTGCTCATGAAGTCTTTCACTTACACATAGGGAAAACCTCCCAACCTGGTTTTACAGTCTGCTTTAATACGGCTAACTGTGTATGGCTTCTCTGTTATTCCTTGACCAAGAAACCGGCCTGAACTTGCTCCAGATTTTTTGAGTCACTCCTTTGCCTATTGCAGCAAGAAGTTGACCTGGTAGAAACATCAAAACTCTGACTGAGCCCAAGCTCAGCCACTTGATTTTTAGAGTTAGTTGAGGCCCTCAACAATTATGGCTTACACTTACCCCTAGAGCTTTTATTTGATGTGGTTTAGTTCAGTTGTACACAGTGTTAGTTGGACTGGTACTAAACTCACTAAGCTTAAAATTCCAGCAGTGCAGTGGTATCCATATTCTGAGTCCTTACTCATCCTATTGTGTAAGTACTTTTTCACTAGTTTGTCCCCCACACTCTGTTTACATTTGCCATTCCCCATTCTCTTTTGTATACTCATGTTTTCATGCAATTTTATGTACTGTATACAAGTTTAATAGTTCCTGATCCATCAGTTGTCCGTGTATCCAACTATTGATAGTTTTTGAAGATACATTGTATTTCCAGGATTTGTCACTTCAGACTGCCCCCAACTTTCAAGATGACATTTCCGTTAAAATGAATTTGAACGTGTCTAAATTACTGGTAGTTGCACAAGTGGGAATTTTCAGGGAAGTGAAGCAGAAGTTTAAATTGAGCGCGATATTAAGTAAAAATGGTAACAACCTTCTGTCTTTAAATTTGTTTCTGGAAAGGTTTCTGGAGACCATGGAGTTGACCCAAACCCACTCTAGACCTCTAGTCTGAATTTTAGCGAGTTCTGAATTCTGGGGCAGAGTGAAAAGCCTTTTGCGAGTCAAATTTGAATGAAATCTGGTACACTGAGTTATTTGATTGCATATAAACACAACAATATGAATTACTCAGAGTGAAGTTACTGTTGCTATACCTTGGGATTTGAGGCAAGCCTTTGCATAGTGAGCACCATCTCTGGAATGAATGAGTTCCTTTCTGCCCTTCGTATTCATTGAAAAAAGTGTATTGACGCAAGGCGTCTCATATGTAACTAAGCAAAAGCTTGCCCCCAAATCACGAGATATAGCAACGTGTCTTTTGCAGGGAGAATTCAGATTATGTTCACATGAATTTAAAGAACTCTGTCTACCAGATTTTACTGAAAATTAACTCACAAAAGGCTTATTCGAATAACTGTATATCTGAATATTCAACCGTCCATTTGATCAAAGATACATATTTGGTCATGCCAGATGGCAGATTTTTGATGAATATGACATGAATAGAAGCAGTTTCATTAACGTGTACACCTGGACATAATAATTACGACAACACCTTTTCACTGTCATGACTGTCATAACTATTGCCAGCAATGATTTTGCAAAACTTTAAATACGCAGCAGCTTAGAACTTGTTTGCATGTTTGCCTGGTTGAGATTAAAAAAATATTCCGACAAAATGTATATTCAAGTGTATTCTGCTGGAAACAAGGCGCGACCTACGATTCCGCTCAACCAAAGCCAAATACATAGTACATGTACCATTATAACTGACACACTCCTAAATTCTACAAAGAAAAAAGTTTTTTTTGGTTTGAAAATGAGTAGGAATATCATTATAAGAATTTATTGCGTCCTTTATTGGAACATGAATCTGAAACCAGTTGAAACTGAACATTCCTGAACTGCAACTGCGTAATCCCGTTCATTACAACCAGCAATCAATCTCTGGTAATATTTGTTTCCCTTGAGATTACCCTCTCCGTTTTCACTAAAAAAAATTCCTGTATTTGTGGTCCACTTTGCTGTTGCTGTTTTGAACACAGTTTTGATTTCAGTAACAGTTTCCAAGATCAAAATTCTAATTATGAGAAATTTTGTTATAATAAAAGTCTCCCACACCACACAACTGCTCAATTCTCATTTTTTCCTGATGCAGTGATCCTCCTCTTTTGGACCTCCTGTCTTTTGATTTCCGACTGAATATTGTCATGATGGTTCCATAGTTTGCATCAATGTATAACCATTATAAAGAATGCTGATATGCACATTCATGACTTGTATTCATTATAAATCAATTTCTGAATTCGAGGTTAGATTCTATATATTGCTGGTGGACAAATAAGCTGCCTTACATAGTCTGAAATCACCTTAAAATAGGCCTGTATGAGCCCCAAAATATATTTTCTCCTTTTCATCTACATATTTGAATTTGAAATTTTTTTAAAAATATTTGATAATCCAGCAAGTATTTGGATATTCGGACAAGCCCTACTGAGTTCAGGTCAGACACTTCAAATGACCTGCAAGATAAGCAGTCATTTGTCACTTTCATCCTGTTACTTGTGAATGGTTTGATGTTTTGACCAGTCTTGTGAATAGCCTTCTTTCTGATGTTGTGATCAACTACTGATCTCAACTACTGCACTGGAAAAGGCACTGTTCCAAATGTTCCTTCATGTCTACAACACCCACCAAAGAAATGGTATACATTTATGTATGTATTAGGCACTTTCTTCAAACAAGCACAGTATTTCTGCATCTGTCCAGGAAAGCGTTGCCGAAGTTTAGCTTCAGGAAGAATGCATGCTGGCACACATTTGAAATTCGGGGATGTCCGCAGGGAATGAAGCATACATGTTGATACATACATTGGATATGTCTCTGTACCTTTGCCTATGCACAGTGTGTAACATTACATTTTCAGGTAAACACACTGAGGCGGCAATATCAGAGCAAAGTACGTGTGCAGTATGTCTGATCTGTAGCAACATTTGGACTGGGTAATTCTGTGCAAATGTCATCCTGGGTCTCGGATTTTTGTTTTGCACAAAAAAAAAGCCAGTGATGTTGGAAAACAACCAACATCCACAGTTATAAGGTTATTGTTTTTTTCATGTGTTTGCTGTTTATTTGGCAAATTATGTTTTTTTTTCCTACATTACATGTATACCAAAAAAAAAGGATGTTGCTGAGGTGTCAGTCCATTACCAAGACGGCACATAGCTGTAACTGATCCTTGCAAAGTCCATATTTCAGAAGAAATCTGACATTTGTATGATTAAGGGACGCTCGCAACGTTGAAATAGTATTTAAGGTTAGGTCCTAACATTCACCTTAATTATGAAAGAACAAGATACATTGTGAAAATTCTTTTTGATTTGTCAGCAATTGAATTACCTTGTGTAGAAGGTGTATTTTTTAACAGTGAGGATTGAGTTTAGCTAGATTAGTCAGTCACATGCATCCTCAAACCAATGCCTTGGTAAATGTACCTTTTTACAAAGAGCTGTTACAGAGAAAAAGTACTTTTACTTGAGCACAAGTACACAAAAGTGTGTTTTGTATGGCACAATTTCACGTGTGAGTGGAGCATGAGTAGGGAAAACATACTCAAGGACAAGACCAAGTTCTACAACGCTGCGTTGGAGTTTATCTCTTTAAATACTAGCACCCCCCAAATGGGTTTGCACATGTGCAAGTATAATGCTGAATGGTTTTCTGCTAAGTACGTGTACATTGGGGCACTCTTCCACTCTCTTCTTAAGGAATGATCGTATTCCATTTCCTCTTCAGCACTCTGATCTTATTTTACCCTTAAATGTAAGTACAACTCCCCACATGATTTTGGTCATTGGATTTGTCTGTTTTAATACATCCATTGCATCAGATGGGAAAGAGGTTCACAGGGCCTGTGGTCAAGAGCTTCAAGGCCTTGATACATTGAATCTTGGCTTTGTTTGTTTTTGTTTAAATGTTTTCACTTGGAATGGTTGAGCCACTCAAGGCTAAAGTACTTGGGCAGAAACAGAATATTGACTAAAGGCCTTCTGGTGCACAGAGGACACAGTCTGGGTAGCAGCTTAAGTAACACGTTGATTTCACTTGTTTGTAGTGGCAGCATCCTTAAAGGTGCTGTGTGATCTTTACTGCCCAAGGCAGGCACTTGGTGGCCGTGGATATTGGTCCTGACCTCAAGTCTCAAGCAGTGTCATATTCCACCCTGCAAAATTCTACTGGCATGCATCACGAGAACCGGTACCCACTGTCTCTGCCTTTTGCCTCCATTTTAGTGAGAATGAAGAGATGAGATGAGCAGGGGTGCAGTGTTGCCTAGCTCACCTTGCATGCCCCTGTACATTAGTGATGTCCAGTTGCATTTTCAACAATTTTTCTCTTCACTAATTATAATGCATTCCCCAGTGAAAAAGAAGTAATAGAATGCACGCAAAACAGACCGAGACGTCAAACAGATACGAATTGCAGACTGATGTAAATTTTGTGGAAGTACCCATGCCCTTAAAGGGCCCATGCAGTGTATTTTCTAACGATGCAAATCTGCATACATGTACATGTATGAGCAAATGTGTGATGTCATTCTAGGATGAAATTTCAATGTTTCATTATTTCAGCACAAATATTGGCCCGAACTGTTTTGACATTGATTTCTTTTCATGAAAATAGACTATTGAGAAAAGTTTTTTCTAACACTTTTTTTTTCTGTTTGCCAATGTTGGATTCCCAATATAAGCAGATACATGTATGTGCTGGTCCCCTTACGACTGGGAAATGGAGGAAATTTGAAGATGTTTCAAAAATTCTCTTTTCAATGAAATTAATCAAGCAGGGGTGACCGTGTTAAAGAATTTTCATGTGAATGAGAAACGTACCGAGGTGGACAAAATATGGGCATACATGTACTGTAGTTTAAAACACTGTAGTTGGCCAGGACAACTGTTTCGGTCAAGTTTGTTTAGCTTGTACTGTTTCTCTTCAACCCTGCTCTTACTGATAATATGAAGGCACTATATATCATTAAAATTATTCCCTCTAAGCGGGTAGAGATTTCACGTAAAACTAGGAAGTAAAAAGTATTTGCTTGTATTGGTGAAAAAAGCATGACCCTCAAAACTTTATACGAGAACAGTTTGTGCAGATATTCACATTTGCTCACTCCCTGATCTTAATGTTTAAGTATGAAGTGAATAAAAAAAAATTTAATCAACCCAAACAGAGAAAAATTACGTAGGCAACATTTTCAGTATTGCCCTTGTGCTCCTGGCAGCTTGGCTAAGTGATGCTCATGTGGGTGCAAATGACAACCCTGCCATGTCGCCAAGTAGAAAAACTCATTATTCAACTCAAGAACCTGGTGAAAACTTACTGTGATTTTTTTTGGGGGGGAACGGTTTGTTTGAGATATTCTTTTATGACAAATAACTGCTCAGATATGTATTGTTATCAAGTTGAGGCTGTCATTGTGATACTTGACTCATTGATCTGAACTTCCTCTCAGCCCGTGAATAAAAGCTGAGCATTATCAATACTGTTTTAATACTCTGCCCACCGTAGTTGCCTCTTGTCATCCCGCCTCTGGAGATTAGAGTCTTTTGTAATAAGTCCACCCCCCTTGGCGACAGGGATTCTGGCAGAAGTCTGTCCAAACTGGCAGCGTCTGCTTATTAAATCAGGAGAAGGCAAGACGCCCGTACTGCTCTTTCTTTTGTCACATCCGTCATTGCTCAACTCCTGTGATGACACGCGGTAAATAATTACCCACCGCCGTGTTCATCAACGCTTTTTAATCAAGTACGTATTGTGGTCCCCAGCGGCCCATGGTCTAATTGAGGTATCATTTTATGGCTTGGGGGTGTCCCGACCTGCCTCTTACCATGCTCTAACTCACCGACCAGTGTCCAGAATGTGCTGACCAGGTGTACGATCAGCCAGGTGTGGAAGGACACAGTTGCAATATCGTGTTTGGTTTGTCAGAAAAACAAGTTCAAAGTATGATTGGTTTGCTTTATCAGAAGAAAGGCTCTGTCTAATTGGCTGATCAAGTAACATGGCACCTGTGTCCAGCACACATCTGCCATAATCAGCTTAGTGTGAAGGAAGTGTCCACATGCCTCCGTCAGTTGTCAAATAATAGAACCTGCTTTCAGTCGGCCAGTGACACTTTCTCAGAATTGACATGTGCATTCAGTGCCAGTGGGGCACGAAGAATTAGGATAGGTACATGTAGGAATTTTTGTCGAGTTAATGAAAATAACCCCCAAAAAGTTGGGTTTCATAATAAAAGCTAATGCCGGTAGCAAAAGAAGAACATCAGGGTGCTGGATAAAGCATTCTATTTTGTCGACTTCAGAGTGAAATGTCATGTGGGGACAATTGTGTTTTTTACCTGGGAGGGTCATGGGAAACTATATTCTGTTTCCCATAGGACAGCATGCACAATGGACAGGTTTCTTGCAGTGCACCTTGTGCAGTAACATACCCATGTACATAATGCCGTACACGTATGCAAATAAAGAACTGAAGTCATTATAGCTAAATTGAATCATTTTCTAAATCTCGGCTTTTGTCACAAGAGCTGACTTTTCTTAGATAATGGAGTTTTCTTCAAATGAAGATACTCTTATACTGAAAATGCTCCTGCCATTTTGGTGTAAGAAGAGAGCTGCAGTTCGCTTGAGAATCTCAGCTCTGGAGAAACAACTCTTGAAACAGCAGCCTTAGACCACAGATTAGTTAAGGCTATTTAAAATGCCAATACGGGCGATTCACAAAAGTGCGCCACCAAGAGTCCGCAACGCGTTGGCCAATCACAATGCGCGAAATCTGTCGACCCAATGCGCGTTCGGAAAGGGTGGACAAATTTCATGCATTGTGATTGGCCAACGTGTTGCAGACTCGTGGGGGTGCACTGTTGTGAATCGCCCGTATTTCAAGTCTGCCATTTTTAATTTAAGAAAGATGCAGTGATATCACAATGACATCACGGTTAAATATTCAAGAGGCTCGCACAGACCATGAGCCGACCTGTGCCCCAAAAGTAATACTGCATTTGCCAACATATTGTCACAATTTTAGAGGTTGAGAAGTTTGGCACACACCTTTCGTTAGTGTTGCAGGTGATCCGATGACCTCAGCTTTGCATTTCAAATCTGGTCTGTCAGGGCATATTTTAGCCAGTCCAGTGCCACACAAGGACCAAAGGAACTGATCTCAGGGATGTGCCTGAGGCAGCCTGGTTAGTGAAAACAACAGGCCTGCTTTATACCATTTTGTTCCATGCTTTGCCAGCCTTTCTATCTCCATGTACCATCTTACTTGCGTATACCTTTACCTCTTCTAACGCAGACCCAAGGGCTCTGACTGCGGTATTGTGAATGTCAACATTCCCACGAGTGGCGCAGAAATCGGAGGTGCCTTCGGTGAGAAAACCTTGAGTGTGTTTTTTTTTATTCGGCTTGCTTATCCTTCTTCAGCATTAGATATCTAATCTTTCTTGGGCTGTACATAATGAGATTAATCAGCATTGCTTGGGGGGTTGGCCCGCTTATTGTCGTTTGTCAACGAATTTGGGACAAGTGCCACCCAAAAGTTTGACTCGTGATGCAAATCACATGGCATCGCCGCTGGTCAGGAAACTTTGTAGTTGCGTATGTGCACACTTGAAATCTTTTGCAAACAAATAAGGTTGCAAAACATTCTTTGCAAATAGGAATCAAATACAAGCATAAAGGCCCTTCAAGGCAACCTGCCTGCCCACTGCAGGCTTGCCCAAGCAACTGGAGAAAAGTAGCTGTTATGCAGGTGTCAGGGGATGGAAAGAAAGCGATGATTTATTGACTGTGTTGCACTGTTATAGTCAAGTACCTTTGGGGTACCAAGTTCTTTGCTAGGTGTTTCACTAGATAGGAGGGAACACAGTTGAAGTACATGGGCATTTGATTGTACATGTACATGCAAATAGGTAAGATTACAAAGTAAATTGATGACTTCTGACCATTACCAAAAAATGAAGTTTTTAAGACAACTGTACTCCAAAGGTACTTGGCCGAGTAATTATCTCCTTGAAACTTGAATTTTACAAAACTGGGAATGTCAGAAGGCTGAAATTTATCTTGTAATCTTACCTGCTATTGTGTTGTAGGGCATAATTGGGAGTAGCGTACAAGTACTTCGGGGGTATGGATGAATAACAAGAACAGTGTTTAAATTTACATCAAAAACAGTTGATGGGGAAAAAACAGTCTCACATCCCACGCAGTGAGCAATTTTTCAAACACGAATGGACACACAGACAAGTTTGGGCAAGCTTAGAGAATGTACATGTAGCTGCCAAATTAAATGTGTCCAGACAGATTTGACGGTGCCGGACTTGACAAATGTGACATGGTTTGAGGGCAACATTGATGGCATTTCCAAATTCCCAAAGCCCCTTAAGGTTTGCTTTCCAGGGTTGAGGCAAACAACCTGTGTCACATACAGTGTAAACATGCGAACAGATAAACCATTTTAAGGGGAACTGGCGCCTATGTATGTGTTGAACAACGTTTTTATCATATTCTGTGGATTATTGCCAACAGTTTCCCAAAACACAGGTACAGGTATACCTTTGGCAATGAACAAAAAGTAATTTTCTATATTCTTTTTCATTATAAATGCAGATTTTAAATTGTATTAACATACCTCATGCATATTCAAGATTGAGAGCCACTTTCTTACTGGCCCATTAACAGTCACATGCCAGGTACTTTTTCCAGCTTACCAGGCATGCAGGCAAGGAACCACGCACAATTCCATGTGCAAACCTACTGTAACGGAACTGGTACCCTGGTGAAGTAGATGTACATGTACGCATGCACAAGCATCATTGTACCGGTAGCTACATGTGTCTATACTCACAAAAAATGGCTGCAGACATACATGTACATGGGTGTTTTCAAACAAAGCTGGAAATTGTAAATGGCAACTGATGAATCTGAATATGTTCATGTACATTTACGTATGAGGTATGGTTAAACAAAAGGAACATAGACTTTCACTCTCAAATCCTGTTGTATTTTTAAACTGTAACAACATTGAGCAGTTCAAACTGTTCAAAGTGAAAATGCGGAGAGCCTTTCCTCATGCACGTAGACTTGACATTTGCTAATGTAAGCAGTTACGTAACGTCTTTGAAAAATCTGAAGAAAGGTCTTGACTATTAGGATGACTCAGCACTCCCTAGTACATCTACTTAGCACTTTGCAGCAAGTAGTAAAATGTAGCAACTAGTTGTCAAAGTACAAGTTATGTACTTACTTAGACCCTTACTATCTGATTAGAGTGCTGCAAATAGTTGTCCTAGACATGTAAGTCCAGTAGGAGGTAGGCCCAACTGTAAACCACTTGAAGTTTTCCTGCTCTTGTGGTCGCAAGGCAGATGCAGTAACAACACTGCTGCGGATCTTTTTGTATTGTCATTTATTTATTCGATCAAAACAAAGTAACAATAGAACAGTGTACACACAAAGAAAGCAAAATAACCAAAACAAATATACAGGGCTGAACAACACAGACCTGTACGACAATAAAAACAAAAAGAGACAGAAAAGAGGGGACACAGGGACCATGGGCGAACAACAGCAGAATACAAAAACAAAACGAGAGACAGTTGTGAGGGTCAGGGACTGCAAAAGTAAAATAAACTTCTATTACATGTACCTGCAGGTGTGCGGCTGTGCGGGTATGGCATGGTTGTCCGCAGGTATGCGGGTAACCACCGTGCTTGATTTCTGACAGATAGTAGGTGGCAGAATAAGTTAAAGTGCAGCTTCCTGGAGAAGCAGGTTAATGATGACGGATATCACTGGTCCGTCACACACAGGGCTCCTGGTGCGACCAACCTCACTCTACTGCCGCACAAATAAGTGTCCGCTCAAGTAGACACACACACTGCAGTCGCCCCAGTTGGAGTTCCTGATTTCATAGCTGCAGACACGCTGTGACACACCTCCAAATGTGAGCTTAATAACGCCACAATCACTGGACCCAATGGCTTGATTTGTTTTTTTTTAATCTCCCCGCAGGTGGTGAGAAGCACACAGGAGGAGGTCGTGAGTCTGGAAGTGATGCCTGGAAACAGTACATGAGGCGGTCTACTTGGTGAGTCTGAACTTTACTGTGTCAAAAGGGTCCATAGCTTCAGTCATTCCACTCTTACTGACGGTAAAGGTCAGTGGCAATTGACCTACATGTAGCTAAGGCCAGTACAGTGCCCACAAGAAGAGGTTTAGATTTAGAAAAGAGCATTGCCGTTTGTCAACCTTCTGTGTAATTTAACAAATATACATGTAGATGCGCAATATGGAAATAATTGTTGAGTTTTGTAAATGCCCACATAATAAAGGGGCGATAGATATGACAGACCCCAAAACTGGAAGCACTCACAAAGCACTTGGTTTAGTGCAGGTTTACCCTTCATGGGTTAAAATGCAGCCATTGCTGTGAATTTGAATCTAGCATTCTTGCCTGATACGGTGAATGCATACTGTCAAATCAAGGTAAGCTCTTGCACTTCTGATCTGGTTCCTGCTCTCCTTTCGAAATGCTGGAGTAAAGGGACCATTCTCATTTGACCTTCTATGTTTAGGCTTGAACTAGTGCCTTGACCACTCATAGCCGTGTATTTGATACAGGCGGTGATTTGAAAGCATCTGATATAGTCACAAGAGATTTGATGAGTGCATTGGCACTTCTATGTTTCGTGGTTGTGATTGGCTGAGCTCTCAGAAACAGTTAAGTACATGCATTGCACAGTGCTTATTCTCCTACATGTGGGTATTTCAACAAGTTGACCCCTTCCACAGGTCACAGGGACAATGGCGCACTGGTCATTCTCGGACTCCTAAAAGGGAATTGTTTGAGTCAGTGTTCAGACCATGTGAAAGCCAACCTCCCTTGGTATTGTTACATTGATCCCTTATAAGGTTCAGATGGAAAACATATTTGTAGTCTTCCCTAGTCTCCTGTGTTTTGCCTGAAATGCTTTGCCACACATTTGCATGTTTATTTTGTGCAACTAGCACACCGGAATGACCTCTGAGATTGTTTAAACTCTTCATTTGAAGTCTTCAAAATGGCTAACACACCGCTGTATAGGTGTTGAGCTTTTGAAGTTTGGCATAGTGGGAGGATGATAATACAGATACAACCACATGTGAGTGTGTTATCCAGATGTTAAAGACACTATGCTGGGTCTCTCCTTGGCATAAGCCATGCCAGGATCAGCTGGTTTCTGTTAGGAGTAGCACACCAGGTGTGGATCCGTGGGGCAGGAGGTGTCAAAACCCCCCTGCTCTTAAGAGAGAAAAGGTATTAAAAACATGGGGGGTAGCTAATAAAAATAACTTAAGTAAATGCAGCAATATCAGTGTAAACAATATATGTCAAGTAATGGTTTCATCACTGTTCCCGCTTGTCCACAAAAGATGAGACCAAAAAAAAAATGGCCTGACCCCCCTCTCAAAAAATTCTTGGATCCGTCCCTGCACACAATGTCTGTGCAAAGAGTATGCAGCCGCTGGCCATTGGGTAACATAGGAACACATGTTTTTGTAGCCCCAAATTTCAGACATGGCGAGAATTAAACTGTTTCTACCAAAGACCAAGTACACTCTATAGCCAAAGACAGTGAAGTCAAGTCAAACTCCATGAAGTCAAGCCAAACTGGAAGCTGTTGTTGATCCACTTTACAAATGCAGATTGTATGTCTTGGAATACGGGATGAATTTAGATGCTTGTTTTTTTTCTGCTCGGTGAACAAATACCGAGGAACTGAGGTGCCTGCATAGAGTTTGTCCGACATTAAATTGCCATTTTAATTCCGGGCAAGAAAATAACTCAAGAACATTTTAATTTTGCAATTTTGAGTTTTGAATTTTTTGGGGTGAAATTTGAAGATCTCACAGCCGATGCTTGTGGCCAACACGAAAAGACAAGGCTCTCAAATTTCATTTTGTTCGTTAATGAAGAAATTTTAGTATCCATGAGCTGTCCTAGATCCGTGAGACCTATTTTAATTACAAATTGTTCACGTCGAGCAGAAACTGAGGTACCAGCTGGAATCTAGCTTTAGTTAGGCAAAGGAAGATGCTGCAACACAGCGTGCAATTACAAAACGACGTTGGAGCTGAGATTATGCCAAGAAATAATGTGAATAGCATCGAAGAAATGAAAACACCCGGAGAAAGCTAAGCTTGAGATGTGTGGAATAAGAATGGCACAGTTTGTACAGAGATGATGAAAGGTACATTATATAACGTAAGAGACAGGTGCACCCGCTGTGAAGGAAATAGTAATAAGTCTTTTGAGAGTTAAATTCGAATAAAATCTGGTACACTGCCTCATCTAAATTCACGTGAACACGTCAATTGAAATTCTCCATACTAAAGACACCGTTGCTATACCTCGTGATCAGGGGCAACCGTTCGCCATGCACCAACACACCGTTTTCAGTGGAGAAGAAGGGCACAAAGGAACCAGTCCATTCCAGAGATGGTGGTCGCTAGGTAAAAACTTGCCCCGAATCGCGAGGTACCTCTATAGCAACAGTGTCTTTAGTCTGGGTCATTCAAGTTGTTATGTTTATGTGCAGTTAGATACGTCAGAGTAAATCAGATAAGTCAGTGTATCAGATTTTATTTTCTAAGATGTCAGAAGGAAGTAAGTAAATCACTGAATAAAGCCGAACAAGACTTCAGCTCTGAAGGAAAATGGCAACAATTTTGGTCTCACACGAAACACCTGGGAAATGGAGAAAAGAGATTTACTGACCTCATGGTCATAAGTGATGGAAAAGGGAAAGCTGAAGCTTTAAATGCCCAATTTGCCAGCGTATTTACGGAGGAAAACAAGTTCAATATTCCTTTTATGGAATCCATTAACACAGGATATTCCCGAACTAGAGATTTTTGAAGCAGGGACGACTTCAGACTTTGATGCCAAAGAGAGCAGCAGGTCCAGATGAATACCACAGTAGTTTCTGAAAATGTTTGCATCAAAACTAGCACCTGTTCTCAGAGATTTATTCCAGTCTTCAATTGATTCTGGTCTGGGGGAATCTGGAGTATTGCCACGACAGTGGAAGGAGTCAAACATCTGTGCAGTATTTAAGAAGGGCAACAAAGCTGCACCGGATAGTTACAGACCAGTCTCCACGACCAGTGCCATATATGTCAAATATTGGAGCACATGGCGCATTCTCACATCATGGATCATTTTGATAGGAATGGGATACTGGTGGACTCTCAACATGACTTTCGAGCAAAGCGTTCAACGGAAACGCAACTTACTGTGACCACTGACGATGTTGTTAGGGCATTAGACAAGAGGAAATCCATTCGCTTGGCAATTTTAGACTTTTCCAAGGCCTTCGATAAGGTTCCTCACGAAAGGCTCTTTGGGAAGTTGGATTGTTATGGTATCAGAAATAATTTGCATAGTTGGATGAGGGATTTTCTCACAAACCGGATACAAAGGGGTGGCCTGTGAAGGAAGCATGTCTTTGGAAGAACAAGTTCTGTCAGGGTACCACGAGGAACAGTTCTCGGACCTCATTTGTTCCTGACTTATATTTAACGACCTTCCGGGTCACATAAAGTGTATTATCGAGGCTTTTTGCAGATGATTGTCTTATATTACACCGGTTTCCAGTGTAGAGGATATGAACTTCTTTACAAGAAGATCTCAAATCCCAGGAATCATGGCAACATATATGGCAAATGAGCTTCAACCCAACTAAATGACCTATTATGGTAATCTCATAAAAAGAAACCACCCACGAGGGACTACGTTTTCTGCGGACAAACACCTTTTCCTAGAAGTTCACAATCATACCGTGGAGTCTAGCGTGGTAGTAAACTTTGGTGGGGGAACATGTGGATAACGCTGCCACCAAGGCCAACCGGACATGAGGATTCCTTTGAAGAAAGCTTTGGTCCTGCTCCAAGGAAGTGAAGACTGTTGCATGTACAACGTTAGTCAGAGCTACTTTGGAATACGCCACCACATGTGCCTGGGGCCCTTATGAAACCTGTCACATCACGAACTTGAAAGGTAAAGGAAAGCTGCACGCTTTTGCATCGGGAATTACTACAGAGGCAGCAGTGTCACCTAGATGTCTGAACTGGGATGGGGCTCGTTGGAAACGAGAAAGGTGAGGGATAGATTAGCTATGTTGTACAAGATTCAGAAGAGGATGGTGGGAATAAGTACAGATGCATTTATTGCATACTGACCGGAAAGGAGCGCAAGGAAGAGTAACAATATGCAAATTGCAATCCCATTTGCCAGTACTGAGACTTACAGAAACTCTTTCTTTGTGAGATCTTGAAGGGAACGGAATAAACTTGATTATGACATTGTCAAGTCAACATCATCAGAGAGTCTCAAGGGGGCACCTACAGCACGATAGTATGCACTACTCGCCTAAGTCAGCGATATGCAGAGTAGGCCTACTGCCCTGCTGACTACAACTTCCGAAGATTCAGAACGTTCTCAAAAGGCTTATTGCGGTGGCAACAATCTGGTGAAAGATGGAAATGGTGTGAGTAAACCGTAAAGAGGAACGTAACTCTGCTGCACTTTATCGGCCAGTACCGCAGCTGTCCTTTAAAAATCGTTTGGATTTGAACATACATGTACATGTATCTCAGTTTTAACTTGAGGAAAGAACGGCCAGCTTGTAACAGATGTGGAAGTGCCGGAGTAGGACGTGGGCCCTTGAACAATCAATCTTTAACCTTTTTTAGAGTCCACGGTACAGATAAATCACGGCAGATAGACGTTTGCCTTTCGAGCCAACTTTTCCCTCATTTTGGCATTTGTACTTTGCATCTGCGTTATTTTTTAGATAGCCCGTGATGATCCTTTTTTATTCTTAAAGAGCTGAGGGACGGAATATGCCGTCTTATCAATATCGCAACAGTGCATTTTTCTTACGAGTTGATCGTTTAGAAGTTTTTTCAGTAACTGTTTGACACCAATTTTTATGAAAATGAAACTTACTGTTCTCGGGCAGGTCGACCAAAAAAGGATACTTTTCCACTGCGGCACTTAATGCACACGGGCTGGTGCATGCGTGGCTTTCAACTTCCAATGACCGTATATTCAATGAGTTGCAACTCCACCACGTTGGGACTGATGAGTGCTTTTACATCCATGCCAAGTTATAAAAAATCAGGTATGGCACTGCCGAGTTGGGGGTGGGGAGTGGGGAGGAGGAAACCGCGCTCCACTTGTGAGATAGTTTCAAAATAACCCAGGTCTTTGAGGGTAAAGCTTGCCTCAGTGAGTGGTCGGGTTTCTCGATATGATTGACTTGTGATTTCCAGGGAGCAAAAGTCAAATCATGTCCACGTCAAAATGTGGTTCAATCTCGTAATCTCTTAAGTCTCACGGTCGAGCCCTCATAAGACGCTGCCTGCTGCGAGAGCATTTGTGACGGGGCACATTATGCCTGACGTTTCGAGCAACAATTTGCAGATAATCCCCCCCCCAATCATTCTCTGTCGCCTTCCTCAAGCCACAGGGATTCAACATCGTTGGATTGAGAGACATCCCTCAAAGCCCCTCATATCAACTGATGTCGGTGTGATATCTTCGTAATCCGGAGCCGGGGAAGTCACCCAGCATACGCACTTGATTACTTTTTGTAATTTGCATCACGGTTTGATGATGAACGACAAAAAAGTTGGGGGATAGAATTTGGTCTCAAATAGTGTTTGGGTTTCAGCGTTGCTCCTCTTTGTGGAAGTCTTCCTACATCTTTTCCTCGGAAGATACCACTAAACATGACTTCTAATGATTTCTTCATTAACTTGGCTAGAAGACACCTACCAACAAATTGCTTTGCCATCCACTGTTTTTTTATGTATGCAGGGTTTTGATTGTGCATCAAAGGACAAGAAGGAATTCCTCTCTCTTTACCCACCAAAACCCCACCCATTAACGGCAAAACCAAGTAAACAAATCATTTGGTAATACACAAAAAATAGATACAAATTTAAAACTTAACGTGGGAAAACGAACTAGTGACGAGTGTGAGATTCGTCGTAGATTGCGGATTGCGCCTTCAGTTTCATCTTCTCCAGAGAATTGTTCTAGAATCAGATAAACTGATTACTGAGAGTTCTGACTGACCTGTTCCTTGATTTTTAATCAGAACAGAAATGTACTACACGTGCTCTAGTTACCCGACCATTGCGTTGCTAAAGCGTAGGACTTGCAAATTGCATCTTAGTCCCCCCTTCCCCCCGCAAAGATAATCTAATCGATTGGCACAATGATTCAACATGGACGGAAAGTTGTTTGCCTCTGGTGTATGCGTTTATTACGTCTGTGCCATTGCGCCACTACTCTTTTGGCCGGATTGCCGGAACAACAAGTTCAACAGCCTGCCCTTTCGCGCGAATGAGAAAACGTGAAATCACGAAACATGTTGCGACCACCCAGAGGAGTTTGCGATGTGCCGGTACAATGTATTAATCTTTGCTGCTAAGTCGCACGTCGTTTTGTGCTTTCGTAATCCACTTTGTATTCGAGCCAATCTTTATTCTAGATTCTGATGCGTAAGTGACCTTTTTTCTTCCCAAAGTTAATGCACTCTCGCGAGGCTTGTGTCAAGTATTGTAATTCAAACCGTAGATGTGTACAACCTTTTGTTACATGCACATCCCACCCTAACAGAAAACCTTTCCGTGGCCATGTAATACGCCTTTTGCGAGTTAAATTTGAATAAAATACGGTACTCTGAGTTATCTGATTGCACGCAAACATTTAATTCAGACTAGAGACACAGTTGCCATACTTCGTGATTCGGAGCAAGCTTTTGCATAGCGACCACCATCTCTAGAATGGACTGGTTCCTTTGTGCATTTCTCCAATGAGTACAGCGTATTGGTGGAAGTCGTCTCTTTAACGTAACTAAGCAAAGGTTGTCCCTCATCACGAGGTATAGCAACCGTTTCTTTAGTATGGAGAATACAAATTGTTATGTTCACGTAAATTTAAAGAACTCAGATTTTATTCAACTACATTTATAATTCGCAAAAGGCTGGTTTGATGGCCACATTAAAGAGAAAAAGAAAGAAAAATTGAATAGGAAAGAAAGGCGTGTCATATTTTCTAACTGAGACATGCTCGTCATGCAACACAACAATGTATTCGTGTGTTTCCCTGTGGGTCTTTGAATGTGCGTTTTTTTTTCGAGTTGGTCTTGATATTATGTGTTTGAAGAATCATCCCGGGAGGAGTTTGATAACTGCGAAGATCTTGAAAGTTGAACGTGACTGTCATTAATAGTGCTTTTTCTCGGAAAGGAGACTCTATAACGTACAAATTAAATGGGATTGGACGAAACCTAGAGCCAACTCTGTTTTGGATCTGTGGGTCTGGAAAAGCTTCGAATGCAACACTGCAGCGCAGAGTTTTTGGAAAATTTGAATAATCAATGTCTACTTCCACGAATGTTAGAAGCTTTTCAGAGCTTATATAATAAAAACGTAAAGCAGGAAAACAGTCTGTGTACGTAGAGGGGCAAGCCATTAATAAAAATTTCCAGAGCGATGCAGATGGGGAGATCGGGCTATGGGCGTGAATTGGAGCTTTGCTCGTTCCACAGTCCCGTCCAGGCTCCCTGCGGCAACCCGATTTTGTTTTCTTTTTCGTGGAAAATATTAGTTTGAGACGAGGAGGAACAATGCTACAGCTCACCCTGCTGAGCGTAAGCGAGCACCAGCGAGCACCACACGTCCTGATGCAGGGATCTTCCGCAGACGTGACTTCGGGCACTAGCGCGGCAAGAGGATGCGCGCAATGATGGCTCAAATCCGGGCTCAAGGAGCCACCGGAGACAAAGGAGCGCGGCTGCGCTGTGGCACACTCTGATTCCTCAGAGGATCGCACCCGTCCGGCTCTCGACGCATTATACGCGAATACTTAAGCCCCTCTCCCCTGATCTCGGGGGCCGTCGTGCCTTGGGCATCGCATGGACGACATCGGATGTCGTACCTCCTGTTTAGCGGTGTTTTCGCTGCGCTGCCGCTGAAGCGCCGCTACTTTTTTTTTCTTAGCTCCGGGCATTTCCTGATTTAGAAACTCCGGGGTTGCAAAGCCGCGGACATTCCTCCGTTTTTTCTCTTTTTTTGATCTGTTATAGTGTTTCCTTTCGCTAGCACTCTGTGCTGCGTGCAGGATCACCCATTCCTCCACAATGTTTGATGTTTTACCTTGGCAGGGTCTTCATATTACAGCATAATAAATGTGAAGCAAGCTGAACCGCACAATGTTCAAGAAACTTCTAACTCTGTTATTAAGATTTTTTTTGCTTCCAAAATAGAAATATCCTCTATGTTCTTTGAGGATACTATTTCACCGTGAAAAAACATTCATAACCTTTGCGCAAACATTCTCAAAGCCAGTCTTGTTTTTACTGTCAACAGCCGAGAAGTGTATTGCTGAAGGGGAAAATCGCAACATGAGACCATAAAAGAGCAATGTTTCTCAGGCTATCGTGGCACAGTGACAGAAGATGAATAATAACCTCCGACATCTACAGACACCCGCTTTTTGCTGTAGGGAAATCGTAGATCGCATGCCAAAAACCGGGAATGGTTCAGAATACCGCAGCCTTGGGGTTACTATGTTGACCCGTGTTCGCGTGAGTTTTCCTAGTCGTTTGTGCTGTTGTGATTTACCGGGTGATACGATGAGTATAGCAGAGCAAGTGTTTGATACCTGTCGGCAAATGGGATGATAATTTTTCGCCCGTGAGCGACAAAACAACCGAAAACAATGGTGTAAGACTGGATTTAAATGTTTGCATCATTGTGAAATCTGGTCTCCTTAATAATGGAACACCAGCCTGACGTGTGTCTGTTACGCCATTTGCAAATAGCGAACTCATTGGTATTCCTGTGGGACGGTTTACTTTAATAGCGGAGCAACCGCGCGGTGGGGCAGTGAACTGCTGGGTTTAGGTATCTGAGCGAAGTTCTAAAGATACTGCTTTTGAGGTAGTAGCCCCATAGAGATCGGTGTCCTTTCTCTATAGTAGCGCGTTCTGTCCAGTAGGTGGTCTCATGAGGTATGACGTCACGGACTGTGTGGCATGGCTGAGCGCTTTGTCTTCGTGTGACAACGTACGCTGATTGCGCCCGCTAATTTGCGTGACGGTATCAAACACCAACAAACATGGCGTCCTCCCATATAGCACAGTGCTTTGTAAGTGTTGTTGTCCAAATAGATTTGCGGTGTAGAACTCAGCAAATCAGTAATTGGAGTACTTACAGACCGTTGGCTTTATTTTTGCTACACGAGAGGGCGCAATCGGCCTGCTTTTTTGGAAAGTCAGTTACATAATGCTCCGCATTATACCTTACGAATTTCTACATTGTGTGTAGGAGTAAAATATTGCTTCATCGCTTTTCGTGTTTTGTTACTGCTCGTCTGTGACGGAACGAGTCGTTACAGGCATAATCGGATATTGATATAGCGTACATCGATAAAAGATGACTGGCTTAATAGATTCCTACGTAAAAATACTATTATGATTATTGTGGAAAATATTGCATCGTTTTGTAATATATGCATGAATATGAAAGTTTTTAAGACTTGCAATTGTGCGGTCACTTTCTTAGCCGTTGAGGTTTGGCCGTTACTGTATTCCTCAGTTTCCAATACCCGCAAGCTTTATGCTCTGAGCCCTACGAAAGTAAAGATAATTTGCTTGAGTCTACACGAAAGATACTCAATAGAAATTCTACTTGGCGAGATTGATTTTTTTTTTTTAATCCGCTTTCTTGTTCTGTTTCACACGTGTTTTCGTAGCACCATCAACTACGGCGATGAGCTGCCGCTCGCCCAGGGCCTCAAGTTTGAATGAGAGGCTCCCCGCCGTCTTAATCATCGGGGAAGATGTCAAGGAGGAACGAGGGGAAACGTTATACGAAAAGATGCAACCCGAAGGATGTGGCAGGGTATTTTGTCAACGCTGTGAAGGTCCGGTTTTTTCCCCCTGGCTTTAACCAGGGTTCAAAATTTCAATTATGTCATGACAGCTCGGAGATGGGGCATTTTATGCTGCAGGTGTCAAAACTAAATCGTACTCGACAAGCTCATTCTGTCATTCTATCACGAGAGCGCAGGTATTCGGAATGTGTATCTTTTCGTTTTATTATTTCTTGTTTGCCTTATTTTTTTCTACAGATTTGACGGTTTGCAGACTTTTCCCCTTCATGATTGCATGAAAAATGAAAAACAAAACTGAAAGTTAACGTATTCAGTAGAAACGTAATCATGTATCATCATCTTATTAGGATTTAAGAACAGTGAAGCATTTGGAAGTTATTCACAAGTATTATGACTTGTTTTATTTGCGATTCATTTTTAATGATGAATGGATAAGAATTCAACAACTTACGGCATTTATCAGTGGGCTCGTGAAAAGCAAGAGCAAGCTGAAAAGCAACAATTTCAAAAACACAAATTGGTTTTGATCCCTCATTTGATTTGATTTGATTTGATGGATCCCCAGTTATTGGAAAGAAAAGTATTTTTTTCTGTTATTAATGTTCACATTCAAACTTATCTTGTCTGAAATAACCCTTTTTGATATACACGAGATAAGTGGCCAACCCGAAGACATTGTGAATGTGTTATGCTGCGAATTTATACTGAAAAAGCCGCCCTTGCTTAAAGCTTGCGTAGAAGTAGACGGCATTTATTTTTAATTCTTCATCATTGGCATGGTTTCATGGAAACAGTTTAGCTAGTAGAAAAAAAATCGTGTTGCTCTGCCACTCGTTTATTTTTCTAAAGGTTTCACTTGCAGCATAACGCGTTTACGTTCTTGCTGGACACAAACGTCTTACGGAGGGTGAAAGTTAAAGTTAAAAAAAAAAACCAAAAAAACAAACAAACCGAAGGTGTGTTGCAAGTCTTTATTTCTCGACTTCGCGTTAGTTATTGATGACCATGCCTCGTTTCGCCTAGAGCCGAATATCCAGCTACTTATTTTCCTTTGCCAGCGTCCAGAATTATAAAGATGGGTTTGTTGTAGCACGGAGGAAGGACACAGAAGGAGTTTGAACTGCCCGGGCTATACCATTTTGGCCAATTACCGCTTTCTGGCATGCCCGATGTGTCCATAACCAGAGTGCAGTGAATGCTTGCTATGCACTTCCTGCTTCACAACAATAAGCCCCATTTCGTGCCCAGTGATCATCGCCGCACTTTGTCGCTGGTAATCTGCATCCTTAAAACGTTGTGTACTGCAGTGTAGGAAGTTGAATATTCATGCCATCGTTGGTGCTTGGTATATATAATCTGACAAAACAACATGAAATTTAATGCTTGCGCAGTTGCTTTTATTTGGCTGTGTACCAGAAGTGTTCAAGTGCAGTTATTGCCCTTATCTAATGCTTTCTTCGGGCTTATTTTGGGAATAAATAGCTTAGTGGTTTAAAAGATTTTGTGGTTTATTTGAATCATTGTTATCTTTGAATTTATACAAAAAGGTATTTTATGAAATTTCATGATCACTCCTTGTGGTGAAACAGCGCATTTTGTTTTTCTTTAACTTAACTGTCCAGTGGTGGTCAACCTGTTGGCCAGTCTTTAGCCAAATTTGTACAAAGACTTTGAAAACTGATGTTTTGGAGTAACAAAAAAATACAAACATTGCAAGGATAATGGAAAAGTGCATCTAAATCTAAAAGTCGAGGTTAATTGGTTAATTGCAAAGAAAACACCACAAATATTTCTGCGGATATTACTGGCCCCACTTGTCTGGCTAAGCTGCGGGCAGTAATCAGGCATTTTTGGAATTTCTATCTTTGTTCGTCTGACCGCGCGGCGATGATCATCGAGCACTTTATGTTCCAGAGTTGTAACTTCTGTGCCCTTCCCCCATGGCTGTGTTGTGGTTGCCGTAGGACAAACGAAATCTTTATTTTCTGTTTGACCAAAGAGGGGGCAGTGTCTGTCAACGGAAAAGAGAAAACCTTCAAGGAATCTATGACCCAGCTCTCGAAATGTTGTCGCTCACCTTAGCTTTTTGAAGCCTTATAATAAAGGGCTTATGTAAACCTTGGAAATTCACTTTGTGTTTCAGTTGACCTTATTCTCAGTTGTTTGCTTATCCCATTTCAAACTGGCATTGTGAAAGGTGTTCTGGTACCTTTTTTGGTTTTGATGCTACTGCAGATGCCATTTGAGAGAGAGGATGCAAATTACATGCAAGTTTCTGTTGCCAGGTGATTGATTGATTCCACGTATGCTTTGCAACTGGCCAGTTGGCAAACCTTTCTCAGACAGAAACATTTTAGTGAGCAAAATTTGGATTTTCAACAGCAAAACCTACGAGCTGAGCAGCGATTTCCCTGATTGACGTCGTAGCAACGTCTTCTTTTTGAAGAAGTGTGTTTAGTGCACTCAACTATAGGAGAATGTCCAATTGTTTTTGTGCATTGAAGAAGAGTAGTAAATTACTCGAATTTGTCAAAAAGCCATTAACATAGTATGGGAAAATTCATAAAAAGGAAAAAAGAAGAAGAAACAAAAGAAACACAGCAGCAGCAGCAGCAGCAACAACAGCAACAACAACAACACAGTACTAGGCTTCATATAACTGTTGATTGGCTTGAACCTTTTTGCACATGTATCTATTTACTCAACTGAAAACGTACTCTGATGTTTATGCTGTGTGAACACAGAGGTGGATGTACATGTATGTACGTGTTCTGCTCAACACGAGGGCTTCGACTTTGAAAAAAAGGGTACGTGGACATGCAGGCTACAAGAGGAAATCCCACAGCGCCTAACGCATAGCAGTTCAAATCTAATTCTGATTAGATTCGTTGACGGACGAGGGTAATTGTGATCGCTGGATTGTAACAAAAACTGATCATCTGGGTATCAGGCAGCGCGTGAGTGACTGAGTTGGTTATTCAGTAGCGTAACCCCGGGATATAAGACCCGGAAAAACCAGCGTGAGCAAAATATGTTCATGCTCTTTGAATTCCAAAGAGTGAAAATTCAATCCATCTAATTGAAATTAAGGACCAAATTTCTTCACTCCAAAAGATTGCAATTTCACTTGAGCTTCCACTGGAAGTGGCTATTTTCGGCCTTTTCCAGTCTAAATTCAGAGTGATTTTCACTCTAAAACGTCTTTTCCCTGATTTCACTCTGTGGTAATCATTCTGCTCTGCGTATTGGGGCCGGTCAGCGAGAATATGAAATTTTTCTTTTTTTCTTGAAACGTAAATACATTGAGTGTTATTACAGTGCCGTCCTCGTCGATTCCAAGCGTCGGATATTCTCTGGTTGGTTGTGAACTGCCCGGGTTGTTTACTAGCGCGATGCTGTTCTGCCATTAATGAGTTAAGGGGTCCACAATGTCTTTGTTCTTAATGCATGTTTATAAACAAAAAGCATCTAATTGCGCGTGTGAGACTGACTGGTATGAACATTTTGCTGTGTTTATCGAAGAGATGCGAGAGCTAGGATTCAGATGGATTTCTGCCACTTGAACAAAGTGGGTATGAAATAATGAAATTCTCCACAGTAATGTTTTGAACTTAAAATATTTTGGACGTGGATATCGGCAGCGACGCACGTGAGGTAAGTGTTGGTTGTGAGTGTACTTCAAGAGCGAGCCTTTGCCTTGGCTGTGTAGTGACTTGAAGAGCGAGCCTTTGCCTTGGCAGTGTAGTGACTTCAAGAGCCAGCCCTTGCCTTGGCTGTGTAGTGACTTCAAGAGCCAGCCTTTGCCTTGGCTGTGTAGTGACTTCAAGAGCCAACCTTTGCCTTGGCTGTATTTCTTTGACTTTCGTGCTGTAGTCATATGACTTGTTTATTGTGCACAAATTCGATGGCTGGAAGAAATTTATGGAAGGTGCCCGCCCGTGCTATGGATTTTTTTTACAGTATCGATCGCGAGCATCATACAAACGCAAAGCAGGTAGGCGCTGTCACAGAGTAACTATCATTTCATTCTAAAGAACCGGGATGTTAAGTCGTTATTCAACCCTGTTGCATGAGTGGCTTTGGCATAAGCAAAATTAACGAAGTCGTACGTCATAGCGCTCTCTGGTGACCCGTCTATATGTAAATGGTCGTGGTCTTCTCATTTTGATGCCCCTGGTTGAAATCTGTAAAGCCCCGGCGGCTTGCTAATTCCCATGAAAGCATCGTGCTTGGCATTTAAATTAGGCATTTTCGGCATTAAGCAGAAATAGGTTGGTTTGGTGTGGTTTATAGAACTTTCCCGAAGCGGACCGAAGTCTAGACTCGTATAGTTCAACAGGCGATTGGTCAAGTTGTTATTGTTCACTGCAGCCACAAAGTAGCCGCGTACTTCTTTCGGAAAACAATTAATCAGCGAAGTTAAAAAGTCCTAGCACTTATGGACCGGACAAACTAATCTTCCAGAGTCCAGGAGACTTAGTAGTCTCTCCACATTTTGGTTGGAAACACGTGTTCTTATTGGTAGCAGAATACCGCAAAGGTAAGATTCCTTAGTGGTGCACGCGACTGGTAATCGTGTCGAAGCTTGCTTCACTCATGCACTTTCAACAATTGGAACAGTACGATCTATCTCAATACATTTTTAGAGAGTACAGTTTTTTTTATTTCCTTTGGAGTTTTTTAAAATTTCCTTTGGAGTTGCCATGACTATGCCGTGTCTATCGGATTAGAAATGTTGCTTCCGTAGTGCGACAGTGTGGTGCAATCTGTACTTTGATGGTTGTTTCATCAGCTGAAATATGAGACTGCTCTTCTGCCGCTCTTGGTGTGACTGAGATTTTCCGAATGATGATGAGTTAATTTAGCGTCGACGTCGTCTCAAACCTCATAAAGTCGACCGTGTTAATGCCATGTCCTAGGAGCAAGGACACAGTATCCCATAGGAACAGTGCTGAGTGGGCGCTGTGCCTAAGGTCTTAGAAAAAAAAGGGGGGGGGGTTGTTGGAAAAATACGACGTTGGCGTAGGTGCATGTGCAACGTGCGTAAAATGCACGCTGTAGAAAATTACTGTATATATTACAGGATTTTTTCCTTGTAAAATTTTAGTTTCGCCGTATAGGGCCTATGTGTCTTAATGACATTTATATAATGGACATACCATGTGAAGGTAAAAACCGATGTGTCTTTTATTGAAGTTAACTGACGTGTTTTTATAGACGAAGCCGTAAATTTACATTGTTGGCTGTGTTATAGGGCCTATTGGAATCAGCGCTGTTTAAAAACGTTGTTTTTTTACGAATATTAATGTCATTCATTGACCGTTTCTCTGTTCCTCTTTATTTCTTTTGTAAACTTTATTTCATTTTTGAAACTTTATTTCAACTTTTAATTCAGTTTATTTATATTCTTTGACTATTTTCTTCAGCAGAGCTTATTTTTTTTGGGGGGGGGTGCAAAAGAAACGTATCCTGTTGATTTACATTGCATCAACTTGCAGCGCACGTGGAAAATGGCTCCCTGATTTCATACACCGATGTACACGTAATATCTTAGGAACCAGTCAAAGCTCTCCTTGCTTTAATATGAGTATATAGGACTACCCTTGACACGATGATATGGGAACCAGAGGCAGGAAAGCGCGCACTGTGTGGCTCGGCTTGAAGTGGGTTTTCTTCCAGTTTCTGCAGATACACGTACAACTGCGATTTCGCTACCTCAGGTACGGTTACATAGTTTATAAAATATATGTAGCATTATATGGTATTATTTAGAGACATACGTTTTCACGTTCCATTCGAAATCTGCCTTTGCTTCGGCCGAGGAATCTAGTAGGCCTACCTTAAGTTCTTCAAATTAACGTAAACATGACAATTTGAATTAACCATACTAAAGACAGCTAGACCTCGTGATTCAGGGCAACCTTTTGCTTATTACATAACAGACGCATTGCACCGATAAAGGTGTAGATGGTATCTATCCCCCGGTAAAAAAGTGTCCCCCTGACCCGGTAAATCTGTCCCCCTTCAGGGGATTCCTTCCCCCCTCCCCTCCGGGTAAGTTTGGCCCCCTCGTTTTGCCACGCAGAAGTAGTAGATTGATGAATTCAGTCCGCATGAAATAAAGTTAGATTGTAAAAGGGGAGGGGGTATGAGACTTAAAATCAACCGAATTGTGTTTCTGCAAGAAATTAGATAAGGGAGCAATCCGTATTTTGCAGACTTCTCGCACGCGTAGATATAGTTCTCAGTCTCGCGGTGCCGTGCGGTGTAGCTCTGACTTGTAGAAGGAAAATGAGCGCGCGAATCTCTACGCTGGCAAAATGCCATCTCGCCGCGCCGTAGCTCGGAAAAATGTCGAAAGTAGTTCCGGTTAACAGCGTCTACGTACGCTTCAAGGCACAGCCGCTAGCCCTCAAGCACAGTAAACTGTGCGTGCACGACTCGGTCGCCGTGGATACTGCGCTCAGGATAGTCCCCCCAATCCAATCACCGTATTT